TTTAATCTTTTGACTTTCTCAGATTTGCCGTCTTTATTTGTGTCAGGATGATATACAGTGTGTCTAACCGCTCCTGAGACGCCATTGCCCTCATAGCTCCTCATAGCTAGACTGATTTACTTAGACGCTCTGGGGTTTTGTGTTGCGATCAATCATTGGGTACAGGTGTTAGATTCCAGAAAAAGCATCAGTCGCCATGGAAACCAATGGAATGTTTCCACTAATTGCATCATTTTTGCGTCACTTTTGCCCCAGAGTTGCTCTTTTTTATAAAGCTTTAAGTTATAACCAGCCGTTGGCTCAGAGCATGTTGACTAATTGACTCCCCTGAGTCCCCTGAAGACTCCATTGTGCTCCATTGTCTTGTTTTGACCCCATTTTTGTTTTACTAGAACTTACCCTTAAAGGGGAACCGTCAATTCTCTCATTTACACCATTGACTAAGACATTGAAAAACACCCATAACTCGTGAGAACCTTTTTTCATGAGATATTGTGCTTTATTATAAAGTTATGTAAGATTTAGCAAATGACATCATAAACCTGTTCCAACAAGGCAGCCAGGGCATTTAAACTAGAGTGTCCAGCTGCATATAATGAAACCGAGTGTGGGATCCATGGGAGTGGGGGAACTCCTAGTAGCAAAATTAAGGGGTTTGTCTTGTTGGAGAGGAGTGATTCCTCTACAGGTTTCAAGCATGGAGCGTACTAGGTTCACGGTTTGTCCTCCCCTGTACATTCTCTCCTCTCCTTAGCAGGAGTGATTTTAGTTGCCCATGGCAGGTCCAGCTAGCTCTTCAGTCCCGGGCCTGTAATTTAGCGTCTTTGGTTGTTGCTTTTGGTTAATTCGGAATAGCTGCGTCAATGCCCTACTGAGCTGGTGTGTTTTCTCTTTTCCCTGTGACTTCAGGGTGTGACGGAGAACAGGAGTTCCATTAGATTTTGGTTGGACTGCTGCTCTTCAGGCACTGTTGGGTGCCCTTACAGAGCATCTCAGAGAGGTGCTGGGCCAAAGATCTCTCCAGTATGCCTCTGCACATAGGACCTCTACTGTAGGTCTAGGTGAGAGCCGCATCGTCTTGTGGTCTGAGGCTTTCAGTTAGGGCCCTAGGGCCACCTCCTTATTTATCTTTTCTGTTATTTGTTGGTTTTAAACTGTTGATTCATTTATTTGCCATTAAAGCAACCAGTGATGGTTTCCTTCTGATCTGCTATCTGTGTCTCTTTGGTTCATCACGGGAGGTTTGGGGAAGTTTTTGTGGAGTGTAGCTGCATGAAGGGACAATCGGAGACCTATCATTATGAATTAGTGAATCCAAACATAGAGAACAAGTCACAAACTGGGGGAGAGGGGTCTTTAAAGGGGTGAGCATTGCAACCCACTTTGTATGGATTTAACATTTTATTTTGCTCAGAACCACCCACTCTGGTCTCAATGCTTTGATACAGAACCTGTTTGGACCTTCGAGAAAGGGCTGGTAAGGAACATGGCTTTTTGATTGCTTTGCACATGAGGAGTGAAGACCTCCGTCCAGCGTTTGTATTTATCTTTAAAAGCCAGGGCAAACATTGCAAATAAGGACTTGA